TTTCTCTAATAAAATAAGTTTAGAATTCCTATATATATCTCTTATCACATAACATTCTCATTCTCTACTTCCAAGAAAAATCAATAAATTTTATACTTATATCTACATCCCATCAACTGCTAGCATGTCTCTCAATAGTGTAGGCGAGGTATGACTCTCATCTCATGGCTTGCATAAAATTTTAAAGGAAATGTATATGATGAGACAATTTATTTTTTATTCAAAAAGATCACAATCATTATCAACCATTGGATATGAAATTAAATGGATAATGATATGTCACTAATTAAGTACAAAATCCAAAATAAAATTTCTCGAAAGTTTTAATACATTATAATATGTTAGATTTCACAGCCAATGACTAAAAAAAGTTGTGACCTCCTTGTACCATATTTCTTCTCCTTCTCTTCTTTATTTTTTCGGTGCACTTCATAAGTAGCCAACATTTCTCTCCAGACATTGGGTGGTACCATCAGGCAAGAGGGTGCATCTCTGATACCAGTTATATGCTTATTTATACGCTGCATATGCCAACATTATGCATATTATTACAAAACTTGTATGCTATCTTATTTCTATGGGTGTAGTTTGTATAAGGTTGCAACCTTAAACAATCAAATTAAGCCGCACCTCCAATTTTTATTATAATATGTAATTTTGGTGTCAAAAATTCTTAGGATGACCTGAAAATCCATTTTCATCTCTAATTATAAAATTGTAAACTCTAAAAATGGTTAAAATCAAATAGATCTATAAAAATATATATTGAAAATGGACGGTCCAGATAATTTGTTGCAAGATGTACTATTTTTTGGACTCAAAATCTTTTATTTTTTCATAGTCATACATCTTGATGTTGAGATGATCAATTAGAGGGCTTTCCAATATTAAAACAATATTTTCCGATGGATTTTTATGTTGCACCTTAATTCTATATTTTAAAGGTGCAACCTTATATAAACTTTTTTCCTATTTTTATTGTTTTTATTAGTCAAAAAGCTATAATTCGGACCCGATCGACTTCGTCCATTTGAACCGGAAGATGTGCTCAACAAATGGAATTAAGTACTTAAAACCCAAACATAAAGAATCTACAAAACCAAAATCAAATCTGGAATACATACAAGATGTAAAAATTCAAACCCAATCTTGAATAAAGTGCACAAACTAGAATTGCAATATTGAAAAAAGTTACTAATGGAAAACCCAATAAGAAAAGGGTGCGTTTTGTATAGAGCCGAGGCTCTAAACAATCAAAGTAATGCATACTTTCAAATAGTGTCGAGAAATGTGGTTTTAATACTAAAAATCTTTGTGATAGTCTTAAAATATATTTGCATCTCTAATTATAAAATCTCAAGCTTAAAAAATAGTGTAGATCGAGCATATCTATAAAAACTTAAAAATCTTGAAAATTGACGGTCCAAAAATGTATTACAATATGCACTATTTGTAAAACTTGAAATACATTTTTTTCTAATTTTCATGCATCTTGGAGTAGATATGATCAATTTGAAGATATTTGGGCATCAAAACAACCACTTCTAGTGAAATTTTTGAGGTGCACTCTAATTTAATTGTTTAAAGCCTCGCACTTATAAAAAATGCCATCAAGAAGCCCAAACACATAAGAACAATCACCAAAAAATTGAAAAGGAGCATTAATCTGAAAATCAGAAAACCTAAATCCAATCCTAGAAAAATGTTCATAAACCTAGACTGAGACGCACTATTGAAAGGGGCAGTGCAAACTCCAAACAAGAAAAACACAAAAACAAACATCAAACTTGAAATAACATATCCAAAACCTAATATTGAAAAGTATCAACAAACCCTAAAGACAATAAAATAACCTTCGGAAAACTAATCGAAGTTGGTAGGAATCAGTGAGTTGTAGTTGTGAAAACACCTCCTTGCACATCTCTTCATGTGTCATGCGATCTTTCTATCCTCCTTGATTTGCAAGAATTCACAAATGCCTAAAAAATATCGATCTTTCAAAAATAAAAATCCCTGATCTTATTCTTTGAGGGGCTTTTCTCTCACCAATAAGTTCACAATGCCTTAGGGATACTAAGGCATATATTGACTCCTAATGCACATAACAGTTTATGAGCAAGCATGCTTATACTATAGGTTAAACATAAGAACTTTAGAGGTCCTTTGGACCCCAATTCAAGAAAAAGAATAGCACATTTATAGAGCCTTGAGATTCTTGACAAAAGAGTTGTAGCTACAATAATAGTATTATCCAATTGTGTTGAGATCAAATGGGGTGAAAGTATGTTGAGATGTGGTTTAGCAAGGTTCATTTTTATTTTCCACTTGTGTTAGTAAAGAGGGTTCAAAGATGTGAGAAATTTTAGGGAAGTTGGAGGAATTTTTCTGTGCCATTGAAAAATACTGATAAAATAATTTTAAAAGTCAGCACTTCTATTCATTCATCCTTGATAATATGAATGGATATCATAGTTATAATTTATAAATGTATATAAAACAATTATGTGGTATATATTCACTTGGTATCCTCCCCTTGATTATTTGGAAATAATGATACCATCTTTGGAAAATTGAGTGCATTAACCTATGATTTGGAAAACAGCAATCCGGCCTGGACTTGCCAACAATCCAATTCGGCTTCCCGATCCAACTCGCACCTGTGTAGAGAATACTTTTGCCTCTCCTTGAACAAAGGCTGCCTTTGCTTCAAAAGCATCTGATTGTAAATGCAAAGATACAATGGTTATATCCATAAGATCTAAACCAAAGAGCACCATTTTTATTGGTTATGGTTATATTCATAAGATCGAAACCAAAGGACACCATTTTCATTGTTATGCCAAAGAGCAGAACTTTTATTGTTCTATGAAAGAAAAAGTGACATTTCATGACACTGGTATCTCAAATTGCTCTCCATTATTAAAGCAAATGAAAAGGTAGTTGCAGGAAGCAAAATTCGAATTCTTGCCCCAGTCCAACTCCTGTAGATGATCCCTAGAAATTATGACCATATAAGATGAAAACCAAGATTATTAGAACCACGAATGAAGAGCTACTAAGTGATGTTTAATCCATTTGTATAAATTTGGGGTTTCTTGCATGGAAAATTGTTTCATGCGGGCTGGACCACATATCTACAATATGCGATCCCAATGTATAAAGCATCCATTTAAAGATGGATGCAAATAGGTGGTCCATCTAAAAACAATTGAAACTAAAGGTCCAAAGGTTTTTTTTTATAAAGTCATTATTTTTATTTTGTAAAATTTATTTATTCATTTTATATTCATGATTAGAGATTACATGTCCTTAAAAATTGGGTCTGAAAATCTATCTCAAAAATAGATTTTGAAGAGGCCACTCATTTCTACATGGACTCATAGAAACCGGGTCCTGCTTGTATACAACCTATACAACTAGATATTTTATTTCTTTCCAGCCACATATGGCATGGAGCTCCCCTCATCGCAGTTCGTGGTTCAGTTTCATTTCCCCAGCTTGTTAAATAATAATAAAATAATAATAATAAATAATGATGATGATGATATTGTTACTAGTAGTCATTTTCAGATTCAGCGCAAATACAAAAAAAATGGAGGCAGGATTTAGTATAGAGCAGTTCCGGAAATACCAGTTCTTATGGTTTGTTGCCTTCCACTACAAAGAATCCTCAGCTTTCAAATAACCGAACAAAATGGGAAACCCCCTGTGATGACCAAAACATTTAAATGTAATCTTCAAGTTCAAGTTTTCCCAAAATTTTTTAATATAAAACAAATAACAGAAGGGCGATACTATGTCCAAGTAAATATATAGGTCAATTAACGGAATAGGATATCCAAGGGATTTCAGACATGAATCACAACATAAAAGATAATTCAAAAGAAGAGCAGTGTTGGAGAGGGTTGTTGGAGTTTTGAAAAGTAAAACAAATAGTCTATAGTTCTTCGAAACGCTTGTTATTATGATATGTTTTAGGAATCGGAATTGCATAATGTATCACATAATTCCTAATCTTGAAATCGTTGTCCATACAATTCAAATCATCGAATAGTATTTCGCATTATATCGAAATTGCGATCCAATAAAATAGGAACTATGTTTTCTATTTGTAAGAATCGGTATCCCATCAGGTTGGAATCGAGTTTCATACCTTTCAAGAATGGCACATGACCCAACATTTTTTAGTGGCTTCTGGAATCGCGATTCGATGATATTGAAATCGGTGTACCATCATGTTGGAATTGAGTTTCATACCTTTCAAGAATTGCACGACCCAACACCATTCTATGGTTTCTGGAATCACGATTCGATGAGATTGAACTCATGATTCCTAAATTTTTGGAATCATTGTCCCATCGACTTAGAATCGAGATTCTTACTATTCAAAAATCGAGATTCTCCCATTAAAAAGTCGTGCACCAATCCCCTCCAATACATAAAGAAGTACTAAGAAAATACTCAACCTTGTTTGCTATCTTTGTCAACATATCCCATACCATGGACTTGGTTTGGCAATTCCGCCTACTAAAAGCCCTGGACTTGGTCTATGACATACAACTAGTGAGAACAAAGGCGAACTCCCTCTATCTCCTTTCTTGAAAGTATAAAATAAGTACATGAAATAGAAATTCTCCTTTATTAAATGTACTTTTGAAAATTGAGTTACTCAATTTACAATATTTAAATATTAATTTAACCTAAAACACCATAGGATATCTTAGATTTAGCACACATCATGTACCAAACAATATTGCATTAGTACCCACAACATTTAACAAAAACTATTAAATTTCAAGTAACAAATTTGTTTTTAATAATATTTATGCTTGGTAAGTTGGAAGAGACTATTGTACATAGATTCATCTCATAAGTTTGTAAGGATTTTTTTGGCGCTAACAACATCACAGTCACAGTCCTGAAACCCAACTCATAGGTATTTAATTTTAACCTTGAAGAAATTGTACCATGATACAAATAAGATCCTGGAACACCTCCGGTAATATAGAATGGGTTCATAGAACTCCTCCAGCAACATACAATTTGTGAATACATCTCATTCATCATTTTGTGTTTAAATCTTGAATCTGTGTCAATAATTTGATTCGATATTAATCGAAACACTGTTCAATACATTTACGAACCATGCTTTTTAATGATGTGGAGCTTGCTTCCAAACAACATGAATTCGCAATTCCTAAATAATTGGAATCAACATCTCGCACACATAAAATCACATTGTTGTATAGCTAAGAATCACAAATTCTGCGATATGGAATCTTGACTCCAAGATTCCAGGAATTGAAATTCATATACTCAATTGAATCGCGTTTCGAAAAACTTGAAAACGTGATTCCTTTCTTCCAAAATCAAGATGCATCTTGGGAAACGCAAAACCATAGTTTCGAACCGGAATCGCAACCTCAGTAGGTGATTCGGGTAACTATAGTCTATACCGTGAATTTCTGAACTGTGACAGTGGGCATGTATATCATTTCTCTTCCTCATCAGAATCCGACTCTGCAAAAACAGGTTCTGGCTGTGTTTCCGCATATGCAGGAGCAATAAACTTGGGATCCTTTGCTGCAACATCTGCATATTTCAGTATAGCTTCTCTTGGATCTTCCTCCATCCATGTCTCCTTGATCAAACCCCCTTCCTGCAATTCATTGCATGTCAATGTATTCAGCAAAGAGCGTATATTTGATGGCATTACTTCTCAGCATCAGTTTATAAGTTTCAGACGGCATGATCGATATAAAAATAACCATACCTTGAGAAGGTATTGGGTCAGCAAGCTTCCTTTGGTAGAACCAACTCTACCACCAAAGCCAGGACCAGTAACAGGTAGATCCGGCCTTTGCGACTTGATTGGGTCCTTCAAAGATTTTTCACGTTGTCTTTTGCGGCTAGGCTGGTCTCTGAACAAAGGCAGTGCATGTGGGTTGTGAATAGCAGGCTTTACCTCGAAGTCATCGATCGACTTCTTCCTAGGTGCACGAGCTACACAAACAAGAGCTCCTTTCTCACTAAGAGAAGGATCATAGAGTATGTGAGTTCCTCCTTGCTTTTTGTCTCCCACCGTGGCAAAGACCTTCAAAACCCACGGGAAACAATTTGGTTAGAGTTGGAGTTAAGTATTGCAAATAAAAAACGAAGTAAAGTTTAAAGAAACAACAAACATAATGCAACACAAACATCCATATTTTCTGTGAGAAATAGCACACCCACCAAATTTTTTTTTTATTTACTTTTTTTTTTTATAATGTTAACCTTAAATTGATAAGAAAGAGATTTTTTTTTTTTTGAAGCTGCTAACTGTGCACACCCACCAATTGAGAGAGGGTTTTCATCAAACTCTAAAAGAGCCATGCAAAAAATTCAAAATGGAAGATAGACAATTGACAGAGCAAAACTCATATCCATGTGCTTCCATAATAAACACAAATTCAGAATTGAATTTTCCGATACATATAAAGAAAGTAACATGCTTCCTATATTGGAATGTGAAAGTAGGTCAGTGATAATTCAAGTCAAAATTCAGAAGTTCTATTTCAATTCTAACTTTCACCTCTGAATTTTGACATGTTCTAAAGTTCAGCTTCAGGCCCAAATCAGAAATTTAAAATTTTAACAAAAAGCTAAAACCATCCCTCAGGCATTAGACTAGGCAGACATCCCAACGGCATGAGCAGGAAGTCAATGGTTTTAACACTTTTAGGTTGTCTCCTAAAATAAATCAAAGCTAACGTACGCATTTTTCAATTGAAGTTCCAACCATGTTGGATCTTAACAAGAAAGAAAACCAAGACTTTCTCTGATGGACGTTTAATCTTTGAGTAAAGATACCTCAAAATTGTGCTGTTTCAGAAACATCAATGTGATACAGAAACAAAGTTGCGAACAATATTTGTTACCTGATTAAGCTTTGGATGCCAAGCACAACGAACAACACTACAAGTTGGAGAGATCCCCACCCTCGATACAAGCTCGAGTTTCTTCCTATCATAGAAACACAGCATGCCTCCACTCTTGCCATCCCTTTCGACAGAGGTTCCAGTGAAGAACAATTCTTCATCAGGACTGAGTTCTACATTAGTGTGGGCATAGTTATTTGGAAGATCCGCAAACACATGAACAGGTTTTTTAATCTGTCGCAAATCCCATACCTGAGCACAGGAATATTTTGCACATTATAATGTTGCATCAGATTTCAGGACCTCACAAAAAATTCCCAACACCAAAATTGAGAGTTTCACACTAATCAACAAATACACATACAAGATAAGGGGAAAGACCATGGTCCGTGAGGTCATCACTATCGATAGAATGATGGATGGTGATGAAGCGAGTGGGAACCATCAGAACATGACATGACTTCATGATGGTAACAATCAAACATCATCCATTTTAATGGATGTTGACAACCCCATGGATTATATCTCTCCAAAGCCCAAAGGATCATAGCATACTTTCCCATAGAAAAGCAACTAAACGAAAGATACCACAAAAACCAAAAAAAGAGGAGACAGATACCTTCAATGTACCATCAGTACTTCTTGAGAAAAGAATTTTCCCATCACTAGAGAATTTTAATCCTGTAATATCATCTGTATGTCCTTTCTCAACATAGATATCTGGTCTGCTTCCCCATCCAGGCTTCAGGTTCCATAACTGCATTAAAAAAGAAAACATTATGAAATTACAGCTGCTCAAATTCAAAGAGCAAATCCATTTTCAAATTACCATTTGGTGCTGAGTAAGAAATAATAAAGCTAAGCTCGAGATATGAACACCAACAGTGAAATACCACTTACCTGGATGGAACCATCACCGATACCACCAACAATGCATTGGCCCTCTCGATCCCAAGCACATGTAGTAACAGGGATTCTTGCAGGCCTTGCAAGCTTGGGTTTGATAACCTATTCAATACAAGGTATGAGGCTTTCTATCATTCACATGTGTGTGGGCACAACCTTCCATCATATCTACACTAAATTCTACCCATTACAACATCACAGAGTGGAAACTTCTAGAAATTTAGAAGCAGCATTAGAGCTACCACAATAAGTTACAGTTGGATTGTGAAAAAAACAGTCTAATTTATTCACAAATCACAATCAGTATTCCAATTATAACTTTTTTCAACAAAATGTGTGCCTTTTAAAGAAAGCATCCCTGTTTCCTTCATAATGAGTTATCCCCTACATTAGTTATTATTTGCGACTAAACATTCCCGTATAACCATAGAGATATTTTAGTTTTTCATTACTGAGTTCTTACAATTTAATAAATAATAACTCAGTAAGAGCACATTGATGACACAAAATTTTGGGTTAAAACTGCACCAAAATGCTGCATGTCGTCATCTGTGAGCACTATCCAAATCAGGATGTGAAAATAGATAATAATAAATGAGAAGAAAATGATTAAAAATGCCTAACTAATAAGAAAACCTACTGACCTGCAGCACTATCCAAATCGGGATATGAAAATAGATACAATAATAAATGAGAAGAAAATGGTTAAAAATGCCTAACTGATGAGAAAACCTACTGACCAGCTTCTGACTTTTGAAGTCAGACACATCCCAAGTACGCAAGGATCCATCTTCTGAGGAAGTTAAAACTGTCTGCTTCTCACTTGGGTGCCATTCTCCGCAGGTTAAACCTGTTATATGCCCTTTTGTATTCTTCAAGTCACGTATATACATGTCCCCCTTTACAAACTCACCTAAAGTGAGCCCATCGCGGTCATAAATCTGTGAGAAGAAGATATTAAAACCTTCAGCACCATGTGTATTGACAAGAACAAATTTTAGAAGGCATGGTATAATCCACTGTTCTATGAAAAGACCATTGTCCATTGCATAGTCACAGTCTTTTTTTTTTTTGGAGTAAAGTTCTGTGTATTTCATAAACAAGGAAATATACAAGAAGTGTGGTGACCCCTAAGGGTCACGAACGATATACAAGCTTAAGGATATACAATATGAGCCCATTCAGGGTCCGAACGATATACAAAAGATTAAGGATAGCAGAAAGAGCCAGGGAGGCGAAAAAGCCTTTAGCTGGAATCCCCCTCCTTCTAAATGGATGACAATAAAAAGAGAGATGGACCCAACAGAACAAGACATGACTAAAATGATGTAAGCTAGATTGGCACTAATAATGGGTGCTTGGATGATGCAAGCTAGAATGGCACTAATAATGGGTGCTTGGATAGGAACCTTAGCCTGCGCAGAGCCTGTTACACAGAGAAATCGATCTGCAGTTGGACTCCAACTTAAACTGCGGACTTGATGGCCCTCAAATGGCTCTAGCTGCCTGAATGAAGACAATCGAGAGTTCATCCCTTGGAAATCATACATGCGAACAGTATAATCATAACTGCCTGATAGAACTCTGGACCCTGTATGGTCTACAGCAAGAGCTGACACGACCTGCATTGAGAAATCACCATGAAGATCAAATTATCACTAAAATGCAACTGAAATAAGGTTATCAAAGTGTGAAATTAACTAAAAATTTCCAAAAATTTCATACTAAAAAATCGTTGTCTCAATTAAAAGGGGCATTCAAAGGCAACACACAACAATATTTATACTCCCCAATCCAAATATAGTTTCATAGCCAACAATACGCATTCTTAATAAAGCCAAAATTAGCTATTAATTGCTTCGCAAAGATGTAGCCCGATTGACATTTTCTCTTTCCTAGCTGAAGCTCTTAGATTATGTAAATAGAAGTTATGCTTCTTTTTTTCGTCTTTTTTGAATGTTCAAATGGGCTTCATATTGAATCCCTAAGAATGTATTGAAGAGTCCTATGAAAGAAATAAACGGTTAAAGGGATAGATCACATCCCTTCTAATATTTGAAATGGAAGCCCAAGATATAAAACTGCAAACAATGGTACAATTCACTGTGCTGGTCAAGCTGGAAACCGATTTTCAGCTTACAATGATACACTTATGTTAACCCAAAGGTTCACAATCACGACTGAAAGTGCAATCGTCTATAATGGAAGTCGTGGCTTAAATAGTTCAGGTCACAAGTCAGCAAAAGTGCAAAATGCAACTGGTCAGCATGCAAGATCTAAATGCAGTTAGATGGATGCTTCCACGATGAAAGGAGGTATAACATATTTAGAATAGGAGGCAATAAGGAAACAAGGATTGGATTGGACAGTTTCTCATCGGCAATACATAAGAAATATTGTGGGACAGGACTTACAATTATGTAAAAGTTCAAGAGGCATTCTACCATAGAGAAAAAAAAAACAGAGAAACATATGCCACCTGTATCTCTCTCATTCCAAACATGGAAGGGCAATTTAAAAATGGGTGCAGTTTGCATACGGATGCATCCATAGTGCACCTTCAAATTTTATCATGGTATGTAATTTTGATGTAAAATGTTCTTAGGATTATCTCAAAATCTATTTTTATATCTAATTATAAAATTTTAAATTTAAAAAATGATTAAAATCAAGTAGATCTATAAGCATATGAAAATCTTGAAATGGACAGTGTGGATAATATATTGTAAAATGCACTATTTCTGAGACTTAAAATCGTTTTATTTTTTCACAATCACACATCTCGATGTCGAGATGATCAATC